GGGTATGGTGGGTCTGTCATGGGCTTAATAACAGGCTGTCACGGAAAGCAAAAAAAAAGTCTAATCTAAATTAGGAGCATAAGGCATCATTTACAAAAATATACTGATTTTATAAATTAACAAAAAGCAAACAAAAGTCCATTACATTTCATTTTTAAGATAAAAACTAAACAAAAACGATAAATAGATGAGTTATTAAGTGTTAAGCTGTATTTTTTTTTTAAATGTAGGGAGACTCAGACTTGCTTATTGAATTGTATTGCGCTTGAAGTCTGTTTATAGGAGAGTAAAGACCTAAATTAGTCTTGCAATATTTTGATTTTAAGTTAAATCTGTACAAGTACTATAACGAACGAACATTAATGAAACAAGGGAATTAATTTAGTTAGTTAGTTCAACCCTACAAGGTGCTCACGAATTATGGGAGTACTTCACAAGGTGCAAGGATGCCCCCTTATGTTATTCTGCCGCGCTAGAGTAAATCCAAAAATCGTGAGCGTCAGAATGGCCGGTCACTACCCATATTTTACATCGAAATAATTATAGAAAGTTGCTACCTAGTTGCTTCTAGTTGCTACTAATCGTTAAATAGTTGCTACCCCCGATTAAAACAAAATAAACTACTTTTTAGGGTGACCAGCCATTCTGACGGTCACCTATCCAGTGAGAACAAACTGCGTAACTAAATAGAGTTTTTTTTAAAGCAATAGTTGCTACTAGGTTGCTACCTTAATATATATCGTTTAGGACCTCCTATACTAGCTTTTAAGGATAAAGAGTTATAATCAATTGAGCGTTCAGACATTATTAAAACTGTACGCCTGTAGAATTATACGAGCAAATTCGAAATCAAGTGCATAATGGGTATTGCATAAGCAGGCGCTGCGTAAGAGAATTTATTTTAAAAGTTGTCTACTATACATTATGTAATGTATGTTTTTAGTTGTAATAATATAATGAATAATATTATTTTTCCGTGCGAAACAAGACAAAATAATGTTAATTTCTGTATTGAGTTATTTTTGTTTGTTTGTAAAAAATATTTCTGATGAGGGTAGGTAATTTTTTACTTTATTATGCAGAACAGTCTACTGTTATTTCTGGTACAATTATCGCATTCAATGTTTGTATTAAATCTTCTATCTCGTGTTTCTCCGTGCTTCGAAAGGCACGTTAAGCTATTGGTCTCGGCTGCATCTGCAGTCGTTAGCACCCGCCAATCCGCACTGGGCCCATGTGGTGGGTCATGGCCCAATCTCCCTATGCCATCCATAGGGAAGGCCTGTGCCCCAGCAGTGGGGACATTAATAGGCCGATTATGATAAATACCAATTGTGTGGCACGCCGGGCTGTCGTAGTAGCGAGAAGTTACCGACCCGAACTTATTAGGTGGAGGGTCGAACGGAGGTGTCTTGACGATGGAAGTGGACTGTAGCTGGCGAAATAAAACCTCTCAAGATTCGTTGTCGAAGAAAGTCGGTGTGCGCTGGCCGGTAAGAAGTCTTCAAGATCCAGGGAGAACCGCTAATTATTCCTTCTTCTAATAGGAGCGCATGTAGCTGAATGACATAAACAAATCGCACCAGTAAAGTTAGTTTTAAACAATAATCACTATGAATTCATTTCAATTATTGAATTTGTTCCACCTGGATATGGTGAGCTGGACCATTACAAGGCACATTGCAAACGTGGGAATATATGGCAGTGTTACAACAATGTGAATAATAGAATTACAAAAAGTAATAAGAAAGTAATGTGCTGTATAATATATTTAAAGAGAAGAAACATAACTTGTTTTTGACGTGACAACGTCTTAAATTAGGTTGCGGCTGGGAGTCACTTATGAAAAAGTGTAACGCTCGGTAACGTTACGATGAGTCTCTCGTGTTAAGTTTAAGTTTACATGTACACTGGTGCCAATTCTGGCGTGATTCTCTAAACTTAAAACTAAATTTAACATCAGTCTCTCCTTTTCATTCTGTATAGAGAACGACAAGGATACACTGCTGTCAAATTTAAGTTTAGCTTTAGAGAATCATGCTAGAATCGACACCAATGTTTTAGTAAACAAAATATATTTCTATAGTTAAAATTTGTGCAATTCTTATTTTCATTCAATTCCTTGTTCCTATTGTGCAATTTAATTATATTCATATCAATAAATATTCTACCGAGAAAAAGACGTTGTCACGTAAAATCTTCGCCCGTAAAACCGACTTTACAGGCAACCATTTTTTTTTTATTAATTTATTATTGTTAGTCAATATTTGTTTTATTTATTGCATTAATCACTTTAAATAAGTTTGGGTACTGCATAACCAGGAAGTGGCGCCTGTTCAAGCAATACCCATTATGCACTTGATTTCGAATTTGCTCGTAGAATTCTACAGGCGTACAGTTTTAAAATAATGTCTGAACGCTCAATTGATTATAACTCTTTATCCTTAAAAGCTGGGAGGTCCAAAACGTACCTTTATATACATAGGTAGCAACTATTGCTTTCAAAAAATCTCCATTTAGTTACGCAGTTTGTTCTCACTGGATAGGTGACCAGCCATTCTGACGGCAGAATGGCTGGTCACCGGTCAAAAAGTAGTTTATTTTGTTTTAATCGGGGGTAGCAACTATTTAACGATTAGTAGCAACTAGAAGCAACTAGGTAGCAACTTTCTATAATTATTTCGATGTAAAATATGGGTAGTGACCGGCCATTCTGACGCTCACCAAAAATCCACGCTGGGGTTGGGTTTTTTTAAACATTCTGTTCGTTATAGTAAATTGTCTTCTATGTAAAACGGAGCGACCACAGATTACACAAACTTGTCCACGCTTCGGAGAACACATGATTCCAGTTCATCCATACTAATTGACAAAACCGATAATCGTGTTCTAATATCCAAAGCGTGTTAGATAAAAGGGTGATTCCTGGGACGTTCTTCGCATCAGAACCGTGGCTTTTTTTATTTCATTATTAGATAAAACAAAAATTATATGGCTAAAGAGGGCTGAAAAACAAGTCATTCTGTAGATGAGGCACACACGTAGACCTCATAGATTCTTGAAAAATAAAGAAAATGTTTTGGCTCGCCACGGATCTTACGAAGTATATGAGTCAAGTAATGGCGTCGCGTTAGATATCGCCTGTTAGAATGCTGCAATAAAGAAAATTATAAATAAAACATTATTATAGCGGAAGTAATCAAAAGTTTTATTTTTTTGTATTTTTTTTACATCCATTGCATATAGAATATTAAAAAATCAATAAATAAACTACTTTGGTATTTGTTTAAATTCTTACGTTTAATAATCAGTCTTTACTGGGTAGCAACCCCGCGGCAACTAAAAATGATAGAAATTATTGAAGCTGTAAAAATTAGGCCTCCTGGTCGATTTCTACCACAACGGCTAATCTCAACGAGATTAACCAGCTACGCAGGAGATATTATATTGGTCCGCGCGGGATTCGAACCCATGACCTTCAGGTTGGGAGTCCAACGCTCTAACCGTTACACCACGGAGGCAGTGAAGCTATAATATTATGTGGTCAGATCCATGGTCGATAAATCAGATCCATGGCTTAAATCCACGGATCTTACGACCACGAATCTGACGATAATTCAAATATGAAGGTATTACTGTAAAACTATAAATAAAATCGTATTTATTTGTACTCCAGTGTCTACACAGGGATATACGTAATATTAATCAAAGACCAGTTAAGTGAAACTATTTTCAATTTAACAGCAAAACGAGCCACGAGTTATACCTACCCCGTTGGACAAACATTTGCAGAAGTCAAAGAACTTACCTAAAATTTTTGGCGGGAAATCTACGGACACTACCTTCCCGTCCGAACACAGCCGGTCAACAAGCGATCTTTTGGACCAATTGCAAGACGATTACCGCGTATTCCACTAAATAAATTGTCATAGTTTCGCCGCGAGACTGAAACTATGCCCGCCACGTGACATGTATTTGAACGAATAAAGGTAAACTAGACTTTGATTATTTTAGAACAGTTTATTCATGATCTAATAGAAACACTCTTTATGTATTTAAAAAAGTATATATTCATGTATAACCTTGAGCGTAAAAAAAAATATTCACTATAACATAGCAAAGGTCGCGCGTGTGACACGTAAAAATCTAGAAATTACCGCGTTTTTCAGATTCAAATGGATATTTAACCAATTTCTTTAATTAAATATTATTTTTTATCAATGGGCCTCAACACTACAATAGTTAAGTAAAGTTTGGAGTGGTACTTTATTCAAGTTAGTCTATTACTCTAGTTAATATTTCAATGTGACCCTTAAAATCATGGGTCCCAGGAATCACCCAAAAATCAATCAAGTAGCAGGGAGCGCACAATCACAACGATACGTTATAGTCGATAGACGAGTCGACTATTTGCAAATGCAAGTCCTTCAGCATCCGTAAACCGTTTTGAAATGTCTGAGTACGAGAAAGCGCAGGATGGTCGACAGGCTTTGTCGTATACTACGATATGGCATATTATTATGAACTAATAATACAAAATGAATTTATTCAGCTACTTAAATATGCCTATGTGTCATATTTATTGACTACCAGGATATTTTTTACGGTGTCATATCTTTTGACTCCCACGATATTTATTTTCGGTGTCATAATAAATAAGGCTAGTTTTTCATAGATCTATCGATTCATACTAATTACATTGCTGGCGGGGCTGGGTGCGTTTTGCCCATTGTCCTTTCTCACGGTAGGTAAAAGTGACCATGACTTAATGTATGCACAGATGTGATCGAAAAACGGCTACACCAGCAAAGACAATGATGACAGCCCTCGCTGGAGTATCAGGGGGTATGCCGGGTGTGAACTTTGCTCTGGAAAGCTGGCAATCAAAAGCCTTGTAACTTCTTTGTCGTTCTACTACAAATAACACATTATTGAAAACTCTAAGATCCAATTATTGAGTGGTCAGCATTACCTAAAATTTTAATGAATACAATGTATGATAGAAAGTCAGTATTAAACAATCGTTTTATTAAGCTCAACAAATGTTACAGTAAAAATTACGTTTAAATACAGGTATCTACATCTGGTTATATCAATGCTGTTAGTATAAATACAATTATTAATATTAAACCGATTAACACCATGGTTGTGAATGCAATAGAGTTCAAGTTAAGTAAAATTCTTCAATTGGGTAATCCGCTGGCCTGCCCAGGGTACCTTCTTGCCAACGTCTCATAGGTATACCTGTAGTAGGTGTCGGACTGAAAAGAAAGTTTACTCAACAGTAAATATCATTCAGTATCGCAAAAGCGCACATCAGTACCCTTGGCCTTAGAACCCACCAATATCGGATCAGAATAGTGGAAGAATGGTATGAAGGATTTTTCATTCTCGTTACGTCTGTGGTAGCGCTGCTGTTCAATTTCCAGGCGCGACTTATTGAAATTTGACACGTATCGAGATCGAATTCAACTATTCAAATTCGATATACGTTTCAAGGGTACTGTAATTAATTACTACGGCTGCCATTGGGTTCGCCTGTGTCAAATGCAAATGGTTTTCAATACAAAGTTACATCTTCTAAATTCATCGTTGCAGAAGCAGTGTTATTTTCGCGGATGCACAAAAAATTACGAATAAAATAATTATATGTAGTTTTAAAATTCGGTATTATCGTGAAGCAACTGGCGCCTTAAACTGATTTTACAATCAGTGCATTTCAGATTAATCTGGATGTGAGTTACCTATTTTGTGATCCAGGTTTTTCTTAAATTTGGCTTAATATCAATGTATTATTTTTAAAAAGGTAAAAATAATGATTCAATGAACTATTATAGTGTCCAATACCTTTTAACATCTTCATTAGCGTCCTTCGATTCAGACGATAGCTGACTTATCGTAGGTCTCGCTCTTTGAACGTATTGACTTATCGGCAATGCTAAGTTTTTGAAATGAGATGGTTCGTAATTATCTGGACTTTCTATGAGATCCATATTTCCTACTTTATCACTATCGCCATACGCATTTTGTTCAGCAACAGGCGTGGTCCTCGGAGTATTTTCAATAACTTCGACGGGCTTGAAATTCCTCATTACGATTTGTGAACTCCCGCTTTGAAAGAGAGCGGTGGGCAGAAGTAGATTTGGTGTTATCGAGATGACTGTGGTAACCTTATATATGAGAGGTGTCAACATGGAAGTTGAAGGCATATAGTAAGCAGGTGCTAATTCCATCGAGGATATTGTCGTGCTCATAGTTTCTGGTTCTGTAAATTCCTGTAGGATAATAAAGGAATGATGGGTGACAGGGAGAACGCTTCTGTATATTACGTGGAACAATGATATTTTTTTAAATCTGTTAAGCGTGTCGGGGATAAGTTCGGGCTGGCAAGGTGAGAGTTTAATAAGGTAGGTTTTTGTGCCGCACTAACATAAAAAATATAACACATATAAAGATTATTATATTAATTATTTTAATTGATAGGTTTAAATCTAAAGAAAAAACGACGGGTTGCACTCCGGGAGTGCCGGCAGAAGAGAAAACTTGAATATTAACGTTGTGCATTTTTGATATTTTGGAATGGTTAGGGAATAATTTTGCACGAATTGCTTTAATTATCAGTATCAAAGTACTATCATTTATGTGGTGGAATACAATATTTATTTATTGCGCTATCGCACACAAACATGACAATTTATCTCTCCGAAAAATCAACTTACATGAATCACATTTAAGCGCACCTAGCGACATCTATTATAAAAAATGCATTTTCTTCGCAATAAAGCTGTCACCTGGACGTCCTAGTTAGAGACTTATTATTATAATACGGTAAAATTAAATATTACAATCTTTCGTCCAATATATTGAAAGTCAATAACTTTTCCAATTTTATTGTTTTCGTTTTATGAATTTCCGATCAGGCCACGTGTCCTGACGTGAGTTAAACATTTTTTACCCATTACAAAAAAGTGTACAACGCCGCAAAAGAAGTTTTCACTTAAAAAAATTTTGTTACTACCTGGATGGAGTGGATTTTTTCTGTAGAAAATAGTAAAATTTTCTACAGAAGTAAAGCACATTGATGTCAAAGTGTTTTATTTTTTATGTTAGTTTTTGTAAATTATGTAGTTTAGGTAGTTTTCAAACCTGAGCTTGCACAGCTTGGTCACTCATCTCAATTCTTCGCATTGGTTTGTGTTCATACTTGATGAGCCTCTCAGCGTATTTTCTGGTATCCTGTGCCTTTTGCCAGGAATCACCGAGGGGTGCAGGTTTTTTATCCTCGCTATCTTTTCTGAGCTCTTGGTAGTCGATTCCTTCGTTAGATGTCACTGGAAGTATGTTGAGAAAATAATAATAACTTTATTTGGAACAAATGCATATATATGTTAAGAAAAGAACTACCAGATGATAATGTCATGATTCGGAAACCTTCTAATAATTTCCTGGTTTCGAGTTATTGTTTTATCTAAGGTTGCTAATTGTATGTAGGTATTTTATAGTAAATTAAAATCTGTTTTCAGATGACTTCGATGTTCGGTGTTATACAACTTTTGTGAAATTTGGTCCAAACTAAAGTAATTTTATATGTCATTAAGCATATGCTTCCACATATTTCTTACAAGGTCTTTGTTCAATGAGGCATTACTTGGAATTGTATAAAAGATATCATCAGTTGACAATTGTGATAAGAAAAGTAGACTAAATAAGGCAAAGATGTTTAATGTTCGGGCTGTTATTTTTTTTTACTTTACAAATAATGAAGGAGATCAATCAATTGCAATAGAATATTTTTATCACGTTATTGTCGTATAAAAATAAGTTTGGGAAGTTACGGTGTGTTTTGTTCACATCGAACAAAATAATGAGTTGACAATGACAATAGAAAAACATTTAATATTGGTATGATACAAGCTTTATACCCGGCTTATATTAAAGACCTCATAAGCTTACACCATTTTCATACTTATATTTAACATACACAAAATATTATCTTCTTTATATCCTGACTACTTGTGGAATAAAATGCGACACTAGAGACACCTATCATAGCCAAAATTTGATGATGCCATATTATATGCCATACTTAGGCTTAGATATTGTTCGTAAACAATAGTGAGAAAACAATACTTTATTATTGTTTTTAATAAAAAAATATTGGCGTCTCAAGTTAGCATTTCGCTAACGCTTGGCGCTTTCTATGTTTTTAAGCATGAGAAACGGAGTCAATGCATATACTTTGGACTTTACCTTCTTGTTGTTCGCTCTCTTCATCAGCGGCTCTCCGAAAGCCTCTGGCACTATCAGGGCGGTCGTAGAACTGACCACGCCTCATGTATACTGTCACGTCGGATCCTGGTAAAAAAAAACAATGTCAAAAGGTGGTGTCTAAGCACCACCTGATGGTAAGCAACCTCCATGGTCTATTTGATATGTGCAAAACCCGTATCACTAAACTGGTGTATTGCCTACCCTGCCCACATACTCTACACGTTGAAGCCCCAGAAACCTTACGTCAAGAAGTGAACTACAGCAAAATAACTCCATTATTTAAATCCGGTAGCACATCCGACCCCCCAAACCTTAGACCTATATCTGTGCTACCCACTTTTAGTAAGATATTTGATAAAATATTGTAAGACCATATGCAGTCTTATTTCCACAAAAATAAGTTACTTCATTCAAAACCATTTGTTTTACAAGGGTCGCTCTACAACCGACGCTGGCGTTGAGCTCTTACAACATATTTTTAATGCCTGGGAGGAGTCACGTGATGATTTTGGGTGTCTTCTGTGATTTGTCCAAAACTTGATTGCATTTTTCATGAAACATTAATCAGGAAACTACGCCACTATGGATTTAAAGGTAGCACTCTTAATCTCACTGTGTCATATTTGAGCAATAGGATCCAGAGAGTTGACATTAATGGCAAAAGATCTCCCGGATCGTTACTAAAGATGGGTGTTCCTCAGGGCTCGATTCTTGGTCTTTTCTTGTTTTTAATTTATATAAATAAGCTAACTTACTTTGTAAGGGATAATCACGAGATAGTATTGTTTGCTGATGATACTTCACTTTTATTTAAAATTAAAAGAAAGCAACCTCTTATTGACGACGTGAACAATGCCATCTCTAAAGTAGTCCACTGGTTTAATGCTAATAATTTACTTCTTAATGAAGGTAAAACTAAATGTTGATATTTTTTATTACCCAATGTAAAGCAGACACAAACCGTGTAACTATCAAAGACAAGAATATGTACCTTGTGGACACTACAGTATTCTTAGGCATTACACTAGATTCGAAGCTTCAGTGGGGCCCACATATTGAGAAATTGTCGAAGAGACTGAGCTCTGCAGCCTACGCAGTAATGAAGATACGCCAATTAACTGACGTAGATACTGCTCGATTAGTTAATTTTGGTTATTTTCATATTGTGATGTCGTACGGTATTTTGCTGTGGGGAAATGCTGCCGACATTCAAACTATTTTTGTGCTGCAGAAGCGGGCTGTTCGATCAAATTACAATCTTAGGACTAGAGACTCTTTAAGAGAAAAATTTAAAGAAATCGATATAATGACTGTTGCTTCTCAGTACATTTATGAAAATTTAATGTATGTTCGAAAAAATATTACATTATTTCCTCTGAATAGTGATAAGCACTCGCTAAATAAAAATAAATTAGCTGTACCAATCACAAGGCTCCACAAAATCAATAATTCATTTAAAGGTCTTTGTGTACGCTTCTACAATAAAGTCCTTAGCAATATCCAAGAATTAAGGGTCAATAAATTTAAAACTACCATTAAAAGAGTTCATTAATAAAGCCTATTATAAAGTGTCTGATTATATTTCAGACAAAGATGTTTGGGTTTAAACTGTTCCAAACGTTCCGGCAGGCTTTTTCTATAATTATGATAAAGATGAAAAGATTGTGTATTTACACCGTAATATATAGTTTTTTTTTTGTAAATATTGTTACATAACTATTTAACGCTGTAAAGTTATTTCGCCAGTTTTTCTCCACAGCTCAAAACATTTCCTTAACTGTTGGCAGTCAAAAGAATTGTATTTTGCATACAATTTGAATAAAGATATTTTGACTTTTTTACACTAAAAATTAGTTTTACTTGGCTGCTGATTTCTGTGAGGTGCTGGTTACTTCCCTAAACGGGCGCTCGGATTCTAACGAAAAACATTAACGAATAACGTTGTGCCTCTGATAAAAATTACACTGTTTATTGAATGACTGAAATCGAATCCACGTCCTTCTTTTAGTTATAACCATTGACCAATATACTTCCGACACTTCCGTCCGAGATCGAGAAAGTAGTCATTAGTGTATTCCCCATTTAACAAACTTACACACTTTATCTTTATAATTTAGTACTTATGTAATTTTTTCATAATTAAAAAATTATATCGTATTTACACAAATTGTGTGGTGATCGCATATGTAATAAGCGTAAGGAAATTATTACATCTGTACTCATAAATATACCTATCTCACCGGAATATAATCCATTCCGTAAGTTTATCAATTTCTTAGTAAATTAATCAACTTTCGTAAGATAGTAAACGTGAGATAAAATGTATTATCTTACAAGAACATTTTCGTAAATTGATCAGTTTACGACGTCTCGCGGTAAATTGATAAACTAACTTAAATTTCAAGACCTATCAACGTAAAATTCTAGGTACTGTGACCAATCCCAGAACAGAGTTTAATTTTACGTCATTTAAATTTACGTAAAATAATACACAGCTTTCTGATTGCTCGCGGTTAGCGATTTCGGTGTTTGCCGCCATAGACTTAGGTACGATCAGGCATGTGCAAATATTTTCATACACAAGATGACTGTATAAGTGCCTATAAGGCTAAACTGTACTTCCAGGGCCAAAGCGGTGATACTAGGTTAGGTTAGTGTTGTGGCTAAAACGCGCGAGCCGAGTGAACAAAGCGAGCGTGCCATGGTAGCGGCAGGCGAAGTGAAAGAAAAAAAAAACTGTTAAAGAGACTTTTCTACAAATAAAATCAAGTATCACCTCTTGGGCCCTGGAAGTACAGTTATACCCTATTACACCTTCGTCACATTTTTTAATTTTTGTTCGGTCCATTCCAACTTTTCACTGGTTTGGTCGTGTCCACTATAAAACTTTTGTAGCTCTATGTAAATTTTTTGTTCACCAACTAACGTATTATTTTACGGCTTAGCTCGGTAAATTGATCAATTTACGAAAATGTTCCCGTAAGATAATACATGTTATCTCTCGTTTACATTCTTACGAAAGTTGATCAATTTACTAGGAACTTGATAAACTTATGGAATGGATTATATTCCGATGACACCTACATTATATGAGTCTTTAAATCTGCTACGTATATAGAGCGCTCATTGTTATCCTCTACATTTGTTGTTTCACTCTGAGTCGAGATAAAGCGGTTAACCCCGAAGCGAGGGGACGTTAGTGTTTGCATACAGAATTACCAAATCTTTTGTGAGGCTGTTATGAGTCCTCTTCACCAACCAGATTCATCCTTGAATGTTACGTCAACTTGGAGCGATTGTTTACAAGAAGGGGAATCATTAAAATGTTTGATTTAAAGTCGTAACTTTACGTTACGTAATAGTACGTCGTCTGCGAAGAATAGTCTATTTTTGGATACAAACCTTGTTTCCATATTTAAAGCCCTTTAGTTTTTATATTTATAATGGAAAGAAACAGCAAAAATTATCAATATTGGTTCAAACGTTTAGCCATAAAAGCGTATTAGAATAAGCGTGGCTGTCTGCGGTGTGACAAACAGACTGATGGTCAGACACTGTGAAATTATAGGGGTTCTTACTTCTTAGTTGACTGCGTAACCTTAACAATGAAGACTAAGTTTATGGTAGTTACACATGCGTTTTGTTCATTTCACCCAAATTATAAGAACACTAAATACCAGATTATACCAAGTTTATTTCTCCTCTAAGGGCCTTAGGAAATAACTTTTTCAACACGTTTGCTCAAAAAATGCATTTACGGAGGTTGTATACATTGTTCGAAAGTTAAAAAGTACGGGCCATAAAACGGAGCGTGCGGTAAAACATTTTACTGCACGCTCTCATACAGTGTACCGTAAGTATTCTTCACGGTTTTTTTATTTCGGTCGAACCTCCTCTACCTTTTAATATACTAGACTTTGTCTGGGGCTTACATTCGTCTACTCGTTTGTTACCAACTTATCGCACTAATATCATAAATAACTATTAAGTCATCTAAAAACCGTCTTAATTTTCAAGTTCATGTTTTAGGCCGCATTGTTGCATCCATAGTTTGACATTTTACTATAGTTAAAATACTACAGAAAGAATAACCATTTGTTAAAATTTGGCACAAAATTTGACAATTATAGATGAAACAACGCGGCCTTAGTCAAAACCCAAGCAGTCTCATGAGACTGCGCAGCGTCGGTCTACTCTAGCAATTCTTGGGCTCCGCCGGTCTAGAACTGGCGCTACCTTTCGTTCCAGGAGGTGTCGGAGCTCGGGGTGTCCATTAGGTCTCGGTATCATGGAGATTTAGTGCACCCGCCCAGGTAGCGAAGAGCGGCAATTACCGCCCACCCTATATGGATATAGTCGAGATAGGTAACATGGTATACACTGACTTGTGAAGGTTAGGAACTCGGCTAAAGAATAGTTGTATCCGTAAGCGATGCCGGCAGTAAGGGCCACCGCCAATCCCAGCCCCACCGCGTACGCCAGCCAGCAGGCCAGGAAGAACGTTATGAATCTGAAATAAGATGAAATAACAAAAGTCTGATTAAAGTATTGGAGAAAACCTCAGGATTTATGTTGTAAGGGAGGCATAAGCAAGCATATCTCCCATCTGATGGAAACGGCCGCCGTAGTCTATAGCCGCTTACGATACCAAAACTCTACTGTGGAGCCCTGGAACTTTACTCACCGATAGAAACACAACATCACCAATCATCATCATCAGCCTAATAACGTTACCACTACTGGGGCACACGCCTTCACTATGGATGGAATGATTTCCGCCAAAAACCACCACGCGGGCCCAGTCAAAATTGGTCTATCTATCTGTCAAGACCCCTTATCTCAGAAACGCGTAAAGATATCGAGTAGAAATTTAAACCATACAGTCAAGGGCGCATTGTACTAGCTTTCTGGATGTTGATGCCCCTGATTTCTCCGGAGAATCTTCATCGGGGTGGGTCCGTCCGCGGACAAACACCTGTCGGGTGCGTGGCCATTCGGAAACTGGTGCCGCGACACACGCCCTCTCGGCACGCACTAGGGGGACCGCGGTCCTCATAATGCGTGTCGGGTGACGGTGCAGGAGTATTTTCTGGTTTTTAGTGGCCCTGGTCAGGGCGTTAGGTAGGGCCTGTTCATTTTATCCGGCCCCAAGACTGAAAGGAACGTGGGACTCCACATACCTTCTTCTCGCTCCCCCAGTAGTTGAAGGATGTGTAAGGCATTTCCCAGACACAAAAAATGGAATAAAAACCGTGGGAGCAACAGGAGAACTCCATTATAGACCGCCATCATTATTCCAGTTGGTAAGTTAAGTACGGACGAGCGACGTAAATAGCCATTTGGGATAATGCAGAGCGATGACCCGCTGCGTAGTCGCATTCAAGTAATAAATAAGAAAATATCGCTATACGTGTGACGGAAGTAACTTTCATGTAATCCGTTTCAAACATTTGAGAGAAAATATAATATTTTAATTCAATCGAAAGACTATGGGAGTCTCAAATAGCAAGATTGCATGTTTCATTTAAGTTTGCGTAATGTTTCATTATTTCATATCTTAATATAACAAAATCTTTACTCACATACTAATATTATAAATGCGAAAGTGTGTCTGTATGTCTCCCTGTCTGTTACTTCTTTACGTTCTTAAACCACTAAACCGATTTATATAAAATTTTCTATAGAGATACTCGTAGTTTCCGGGAAAGGACATAGGATTATTTTTATCCTTAATATCATCGTCTAAGAGGAGGAAAGAGGGGAGGAAGTTTTTATGGGCAACCAATATTACCATGTAGACGGAGTGGGGGGCACATACTAGTATTATTTTGATAAATCGATCAATGAACCTATTTTGAAGAATTTTTTTACTGCTACAGTTGAATGTGTAAACAAGTTAGATGAAATGTCATTAATTTGAAATTGAAGAATTCATAAATGAAAAATACTTTAGGTTTCACACAAATATCCCCGTTTTAGGGCCTGCGCTGCGTTAAGCGGAAGCACGCAGCGGACGTTCGCTCCGGGTGCAGTTTCATGTCATTTCATAGAGCAGTGTGGCGTGATGGCGGCATTACACTTGGTCGTTAGCCCGAATACGAGTGCCAATGGAATTCGGGTAAACGACTAAGTATAATGAACTAAGTAGAATAGGCCGGCATCGCATTTGTGATACTCCAGCCCCCCTAGCATGACTAACAAAACGCGATATGATAAAGCGATTTATCGACACTCAACTGTCAAACTCCATTGTAGTTTGACAGTTAATGTCGATAAATCGCTTTATCATATCGCGTTTTGTTACTCATGCTAGGGGGGCTGGTGTTGCAAGTGTCCATGGGCGACGGTGATCACTTACCATCAGGTGAGCCGTCTGCTCGTATGCCCCCTATAACATAAAAAAAAGAATGGTACCCGTGTTCGGGTCGATAGCCTTTTGTTTACCCGACAACGTCTTTCAGCCCGTATTCCAGTGTATATTATGCTTCGGGTGCCCGAATTCGAAAATGTCTTTCGTGCACCCGAATACGGGCTAACAACCAAATGTAATTGCAGCATGAGGCGGGTCTCCTGTCGGACATCCGCTCCGTGTTCCCGCTTAATGCAACGCACGCCCTTAGACCCCCTGATCAGTTTATTTTGATAAGACTCTACTAATTCCAATTACTGAGTTGTTTATGGTCAGGCTTAGACCTACATCTTTATTTAGGTACTTTTGCTATTAGAACGTATGAATCAGCCAATTATTTGGGCACACACTTGCTAAAGTGTAACAAGGACCAAAGTCTTTCTAAAGTACGGTGTATGGAAAAGAAAATATATTAAAAAAACAGTTTTTTAGGGGTAGCACTGTGGAAATCTTTTTAATCTAAGAGGTCCCCCAACTATCGACTGCACTGACCAACTTGTTTTACTCATTAGTACTTCGTAGTTTTATTTGAATCATTTAAGAACTTAAATTTAGTTTTATTTAAAACATAATACATTTTGTGCAAAAGATAATGTATATGAATTTGTAATTTTGCATTGACTCATCTAGGCCTGATTTTATTTAAATGAAATTTGAAAATGGCGCCACCTTTACAAAATATTTTTTCCACAAACTTTACATACACTGAACTGTACCCCTAGCACGAACCATTATCGAATTCGAATAGTTTGCAAACCGGAATGTCAATGTCAAACTTTGTATGGAAACTTGAACAGCAGCGGCACAAAGTACGTAACGAGAACTTAAAATCAGTACACATTTGACAATGACATTTCGGGCTCACAAACGATACGAATTCGATATTGGTTCGTGCTAAGGGTACTGGACTTACCGCATGGGTATAAGACAGGCAAAAATATAAAACACATTCTATAAGAGTAGGTTTTGATCATGACAAACTAATTTCATTTAATGTAAAAAAAGAACTCCATCTAAAGTTTTTAAAGGTCAAGACAGTGATTGTATTTAATATCGAGGAATCTAATAATATCGAGAAGTTTGTGGCATTAGACGACGCGGCGAAGCATTTATCGGCAATTAAGTCAATTACACTCCGTTAAGGTAATAAATTAATTTTCTAGCCGAGTACCCATGGTATTGTCTCGGGGTCTTTCGAACAATGTAATAAGTATTATCATTTTAGTGGTACAAGAAAACAAATTTCGCTGTACAGTTTTAATAAATCATATTTTGACGACCTCCGTGGCCGAGTGGTTTATTCGCCAAGTTTCAAGGTGTCGCCTACTCGAGAGGTCCTGGAGAGATGTCATGGATGGATATAATGCCTTGATCACATATACCGAGCAAACGAGCGAGACAGTGCTCTCGGCCGAGTACTCGGTACTTATACGTACCGAGTACATAGCGCCGAGTGATCGGCCGAGCGTTTTAGATAAGTTTTTTACTTCCATCGCTGTCGGTCGAGAAATATTTTACTGTCTCGCCCGTTTATTCGTTAAGTCTAAACAAGGCATAAGTCACACCGCTAGTGGTAATTTTATTATACTGTCACAAACGCTCTCGAAATAAAATCGCGAAAATACTGGAGGCAGATTTTACCAGAACACCACGGGTCATGACGTGAATGTTAGGGATAAAGGTCGAGTGGTGCGGCTCATTCTAATATGAGCCTTATGCTGTGCTGTTTATACCTTATGCGCGTTACCTGCGTATAAGTAGGCACAACGCACTCGCGGGTGCTAGTTAACTCTCAATTTAACGGGACTTTTCTAAATTTTTTTGAGTGTGTATGCTGTTGGTCGCCAATGACTTTTACAGCGTCACCGGGTTTGGTTTTCTAGAATGCGTAGATTGGCGTATATACGCACTATCGGCGCCGTGCAGCAGACAGCAGAGTTTCAACAGCGATTTCGGAACGAATACCAAGGCGATCAAAGTGCAAGTGTTCAAGTGCGATTTAAAGAATTGTGTAGTGTTTTGGGATTAACATTGTGTGTTAACTGTGTGGACTGTGTGGTGAATAAAGAACTGTCAAGTGTGAACGGGCATATAATTTCGAACCCCATCCCGATACGTAATCTGCATCCCCTGCATGTAAAGCGGCGATGTTATTGTTTAACTCGTCTACATAATTTTATAGAGGTGCAAGTAATAAGGTTCTGTGATAAAAGTCATAGCATTGATTTAAATAATCTATAGAGGTTAAGTAAAACAATTTATCGATTAAGGGATCAGTTTGTAACAAAATATTAAGCTCTTCAATATTAAACTTATGTATGTTAAAACATTCACAGTAGTACCTTTTATGACATAAAAAGGACTTTTCCTAGACAAAAAAAAATTCTATCGGTCGGAGGTCGGACAAAGCAAACAATTATTCTGTTCCACACGAATACACCAAACTGCAGTCAGTCAATGAAACCTTCCATCTTCTGCTGATTAAATATGTATAAGTAGACATTATGAAAAGGTTACATTGACTACTTTTTCACACCTACGAATGGGATGAAAGTTTTGGACAGTATTAGTGTACAGTGAATGTGTACATACTCGCTAATTTGTGCTGTGGGTAAATTTTCAGGTATCAGGTGGAATAGTCTGAGGATTGATTCCCACGTATGTTGTTGAGTAAACAATTTGAAATTAATACTGACAAACACATTTTGTCAGCAGTTTTTATTGCCAGAGACTTTTAATGTCGAAAGCAAAAAACACAACCTTACTTATTTTCTGTAATAAATTCGAAAATTAGATACTAAGAAATTATTTAATTATTGGAAAAGGCTTACCTTTACATTATTTACAAGATAACTTTAATGAAGCTGTTTATCAAAAAGGCACTTAATTACTATGACCGTGCTCTTTTTTACAGTGGCACTTTAAATAAGCTTAGGGTAGTTTTGGACCCTCATGGCATTAAATTCCAACAAGGAAATGAATGTCCTTCTGCATCGCCGATGTGGCGCCGATGGAGTCCATTCGGCGAACCATTTTTTTTACGCAGGCAAAACCTCTGTTTACAGACGTTGGCGCCCTTAAGGTGCACACCAACGAACGGACCTCACGCCTAGCCACTCGCAAGTCTCACGGGTACGAAACGGAGAAGCTGTTAAGCAATATGCGGGGCTTAGTACATACTATCCGCTAAAAAACCCTGCGAATACCCTCTACGCTGTTAAGTGCGGAACCCCGTTGAGGGACTTCACCGCATCTAACACCCGGCGAACCTGGGCCAGTGCGGATGATTGACAACCACCCGTACATTGCATGGCTCCAAGTTTGGGGAGAAGCTTATGCACCTAAGCGTCTCCCGCCAGAGGGGGGACCAGAAAGTCCTTCCTACGGGGAATGGGTGACCTCCCAGCCGAGGGTGCACCGTGGGGTTTTTAGTGGGTAGGCCTCTGGGGACTCGTCGAACGAAGTTCCGCTGAACTTATCCTCGGAGGAGAGTCCTACATAACCTCGCCGCTTGTCAGGTGGCGGGGTATGCGTCATGCATTTTCCCCACGGTATTAAAAAAAAGGCTAGTTTTGGACGCTAAGATTAATCTGGCAGCTTATAAAATATAATAATAGCCGCCTAAATATCATAGATAGATATCAGGACTCAGACTGTGAGTACTGTATTATCTATATTTTGTCCGTGAGAAAATAAGTAAGTTCTGGCGGTCTTTGGATCTTTTACTAATAATAACGTAGCCTATAAAACAAATGATTGAACAAAAGGAGCAACCTTATAAAGCGCTTCATGATTTTCAAACACGGATTCTGCTCACGTAGTTCACGTTCGTCCATCAAACAATTTATTACCTAACACCTTTCGCCGTGTTGGTGGGCCCTATTCAAATTCTTTGTGTTTAGCGCGTTCAATGCTTTTCTTCTATACATTTTAGGGGGGATTCGAACGTGCTCGCAGACACCGTTTAAATATAAGGGATCAAATTGCTAGTAGACTTACTTATATTGAAATTTATTATAGAGATGATAGTATATAGTAGGTAATATTCAGAAAGTTACCTTATTGTGTCATAGGTAAAATTCAATACTACCTAATTTTTTGGTTGGAAATAATAGTGACAATTTCCAAAAATACAGCTTACAGTAGATTTCGTAAGTTTCCTTTGTCTAAAATAGTTCGGTAGGTAGATGGGATTTTAATATTGTATGGGAATTCTGTTCCTCTTTCCCACGATTTCGAATCGGATCGATCGCGCCTTGTAATTAATATATTCCGGTTTAATAACAGTATTTCGGTGATAAGATATTTACTTTGAGGTAGGTATATTATATTTACAAGTATATTTACTTGTACATCAGTGTTGGGCAAACTATTCTCCAAAAGGAACTAGAAAAAGATAACAAAATTAATCTAAAGAAACTTTTACTAGAAAAAATACCACACGGACCAGGCCGCAGACGGGACTCGAACCCACACCCTTCGTTATCCGGGCGAATGCACTGACCATTATGCTTTAGCGGCCCTGATGGCCGTGTCGAATTCTCTTAAGTGTTTCTTAAGCTGCAAGGCAGCGCCATCTCTTCGCATTGTAGGTAACCCACAATGTCAAACGAATACCTTTACAAGTATTAAACATTTGAAAGAAGAAATAGCAATTACAGTTATATTTTTATTTTTCTAAGCATTTAACGGTTTTTCTAAGCATTTAACTAGTTAAATCTAAGGAAAAATAAATTTTAAAAATAATCTTTAGTTTTAAACATCTAGCTGTTAAATGCTTAAAAAATAAAAATATAACACAATTTGTGATATCAATATTTTTAAATTTGTCACCAAAGTGGCAGATGGACACGGGAGACCTGACGGGGATTTGGGCCGTATTGTGCGAGTAATAAAGCTAGGAGTTTGCATTATACGCTTTGTTTCTGTTAATAGTGCAGCATGAGAGTTAGTTAATGAATATTATTAAAAAAATGTAGAAGATATTTCTTACCTTTGTATAAGATCGAGTGTCCACCCAAAGCAATTGAATATGTAGCACATAACGTGTACACCACCACACTGTTAGTAGCCTAAGCAGTCAAATAGCAGTCGTACAGCAGTCGAATAGCCGTCGTATAACGGTCACACTGCAGTCGGACGGTGGTCGTGAACAGATTGTGGACGCAGTGAAACTCATTAGTATTTGTCTTGTAATCCTCTCTGTAAAATAGAAAAAACTGGTGTGGTTTTATCAAAGTAGGATGCAAGTGAAACTTTTAAAGTGTTTTTCATGCCAGGTACCTATACTTAGTTATTTGTTTTTTTTCTTTCTCTGCTACCATTTTGGCAGAGATTTAATCGTATTTCTAATTACATCAGCAGTTCCCTGTACATTTTTTTCCTTATCTAATAAATACTCCTTATACAGGGTGTAAAAAAACCTATGACAAAGATTAAAACTACGCATTCTATACATCCAAACAATTAATATTACAAAATATTATACGCGGGAATCATTTGTATTTTTAAGTTAAAAAATACATGTTATTTTCCAGTACGCAACGTATAGCGCGGGGCGCTACTGTGGCTTTACACAAAGAATGTGCTTGTGTGTATGTGTAAGTGCGTCAAAAAAAAATCTAAGTAACGTATTGAAAATATTAATGTCTTATACTTTAAAAATTGGGACTTTGACCTTCAATATCTCCATAACCATAAATTTTCCAGGTATGGTCCAGAAGAAAAAAAATTATCGTCATGATGTGGAAAATACGTGGCCTTCGACTTCGTTAAAGGGTTTTTTACAGCCTGTTTAATTCTAAATTTATATTTCTGCTTTATTTTTATTTCTCTAGTGTCCCTTTACTTCTTATAATTTTCTTGTTATGTTTTCCTTCCATAACATATTTATTTTACTTTTTTCTCTTGCATTTGTTAGTTGTTGCTATGACTTATAAAAAGTGGAAAATAATGACCCTTCCTCGGCTCTCTACCACGGAACCACCGAAGCTTGTAGAATAGGTTTGAATTTTTTAATAATACCACACATCTAAAGATGAACGAAAAATGTGTGGCGATGGAATAAAAGCTTCACTTTAAAAATGATTGCAAACTAAAAGGACTGAAGAACATTTGTTTTACATAGTAAGATATTCATTTAAAGGCTCATGTCATAGTAAAAAAACGAAAGTACTTTTGATCACACGAATGAAGTGAAACTTTTTTAGCTGCATCTGTATGATATATATATATATATTTATGTGGGTGTGTACAATATATACATGTATGTACATATACATATTTCATTTACTAGCTATAAGAGAAAGAGAACAGGAAAATGTGCGCGCGCACAGCTTTCTCTTGCTTATATCCCCCACTCAACTCCCGTTCACCTCGCCCGAACACACTTTTCGTAACGCGCAACGCATTCGCCAGCTTACCCCGTAAGTCTAGTCTAGTGTGCGTAAAGAAGTTTCACTTCAATAAGGAATATTTTTCGGTGGGTTTCAGCAGTTTGTTTGGTTTTCTATAAAAAAATAGAGATTTTTCTTAGAGTAGATTTCATTTAGGTTGTTTGTGAAACTGTGATTGCTCACCGAAGCGGAGCATTTATTTAGCGGAGTAGTTTTCGAGAAACCATTGGGTATATCTCTATCTAGTCCATTGCTATGCTATGCACAACTTTGACAGGAAAAAACACTAAAGTAATATAATGTTTTATAGAATCTTTCAAACTTTAAATATTGTTTCTTTAATCTTGGTATCAGTATCAGTTAACAGGAAGTTGTGAAAGTGGAAATCTTACGCCACCGCAACCCGGTTCAATTTTTTTTAACCTTACTTATGGTCGGTACACACGTAACGATATATCGTAGCGATTTCAGACTGTGCAGATAAATCAAACGTTCCTAGTGACTCCACACGCCTTTGATATCGCCGTCGATTGTCTGTTCGGTCTGTTCTCCGCAGAAGCTCACGCAAGAAACATGGCATCCACGATGGAAGATTATGACGCACTTGCGATATAAGCCTAAGTAGTTATGTGTTTAAAGAAAAGAAAGGAGCGGAGTGTGTGGTGTAGACTGGCTCATGAAAAGGAACCAATTTTTCTCAAATCAACTTGTTAAATGAGTTGAAATTCGCCTCGAAATATTGGCATAATTACTTGAGAATAAATGAGGAAACATACTTAAATCTGCTGGCCTTAGTTTCTCCACTAATACAGAAAAATCACACTGTAATGAGAGAAGCAATAAGTCTTCATGAGAGATTATCTGCTACACTACGATTTTCAGCTACAGGACGTTGCTACGAATTTATGAAGTTTTCTAGATTAATATCACCGCAAGCTCTTAGTCAAATCGAGATTGGTGTAGGTGTAGAACGGTTCGGGGTCGGTGTGTCTCATTCGTTGTCAGAATAGTTTAGTATGTCGCGGTCGCTGTCAGAACGATTCGGAGTTGGTGTGTCTCGTTCGTAGTATCGTAGTGTCGTATTCGTTCGAGCTACGAATGAGATACTCGCGATCATGGTAATCTTTAGATGTGGTCATCCAAAGGCAAGTTTCACTTCTATAGCTCTCATGAAATCTTGCATTAGTTCATGGTGTCCACCTCTTTCTTCTTCAGATATGTTGCCATATAAGAGCGATCCGCACGTGCGCACACTTGCGAGCCTACAGCCGAACTGAGCGATCGCCATCCACACGCGACGATAAAACTGTGCAAACGCAATCGACAATGATTTATCTAATAAAAATTGCAACTGCCACCGACGAACGATAATCGACAACGATTTGTCATACACACGTTCGATAAATCTGCGCAAGTCGATTTGCACAGTTTAATCGTTACGATAAATCGTTACATGTGTAGCAGGCATTATAGACCCGAAACCGGATTTAGAGATGTAGATGCCCTTTTTTTTTATTTCGCAGGTAAAAAATCTTTTTACAGACGACGACGCCTCTAAGGGGCACACCGCCGAACGGACCTCACACCTGGCTTCCGCAAGTCTTATGAACCCCCATACTGGATGCCCACCTTTTTTTTTTTATAACGCAGGTAAAAAATCTTTTTACAGACGACGGCGCCTCTAAGAGGCACACCGCCGAACGGACCTCACACCTGGCTCCCGCAAGTCCTACGGACCCCCCAGTGGCTACACACCGAGGACCCCGCAACTCTTACGGGCGCTTTACAGCATAATATCCGCTAAAAAAGTCCTGCGAATACCTCTACACTGCTTAGTGCGGAGCCGCAGGGTCCCCGTTAGGGATTCTACCACGGCTCCGCCCCCAGCAGCTTCTCGGCCTCGCCGGGGCTCCACGGCAGGGGTCTCCCGCGGTATAAAGTGGATGCCCACCTGGGACCCCGCAACTCTTACGGGCGCTTTACGGTATAATATCCGCTAAAAAAGTCCTGCGAATACCTTCATTACTGCCTGATGCGGTGCCGCGGGATCCCCGCTAATGGGGCTATCTCCGCGTCCCCGCACCCAGCAGTTTCCCGGGCTCGCCGGGGCTCCACGGGAGTGCCCGTGCAGCTCTCCACCACTCCCCCTTTGCAGGTCAGAACTGCAAGAAGGGGGGCCGCCGTTCCTGGGGGAGTGGGGGGGGGGAGCGATCTCCCCATCCCTTACTCCTCTCCCTGTCGCCCGCGTCTCCTCGCCCCTTCTCTTTAGAGAAGGGAGAGGAGACGCGGGTGGTGAAGTTGGGGGGGGGGGGGGTCCGAGCGGCCTAGGCTACTCGGACATCCCCCCATCCGAGGGCGTCCGTCCGGGCGCCGCCTCAGAGGCCACTCTCTCGGGAGGCTTCCCCTTGGTGACCGGTGGGTCACACCTCCCGCCCCCCATTACGTGGTCTGCCGGCCGACCACTCGCCGCGCACGCTACACACCTGACGGGGGCAGCACACGTCGCCGCCTTGTGCCCCTCTGCCCCAGAGATGTAGATGCCCTGGGACAGTCGATGGACCTTAATTGACACTAAATCGAAAAGAATCGACAAGGAAGAAACTAGGTATGTTAACTTGTAGGAAGAAACTAGGTATGTTAACAAAGATACGTGTAGATAGAAACCAAACCTAGCTTAATTTGAAATAAAAAAAAGCATGAAGATTCCCTAAGCAAATAATTTAAATACTTACACTGTAAGATAGTCTTAAACAAATACTTTTTTTGTTATGATTGTTGTTGCTTTCATACAATAAAAGAATGAGAACAGATTTTCTCCTTTATTATATTAATATAAATTACGCGTCACGTCGTTGTTTGTCCGGGATGGACTCCTAAACTATTTAACCGAATTTAATCAAATTTGCACACCGCGTGCAGTTTTGATCCAACTTGAAAGATAGGAAAGGTTACATCTCCATTTAATTGCAAATTATTTCTTATGGGTGGTACGAAGTTCGCCGAGTCAGCTTGTTTATTTAAAGATAAGTAATGTAATCTTAATACAAAAGTATAGAGAATTTTCAAGAATAGGCGAGCCATCCTTATAAGGATCAAGGAAATAAAAATTTTGAATATAAGAATGGTCAAATTGTAATTTATTTCTCCATGCACATTGTATTAAAGTTGTATCAGGCACATAAAAATGTGCCTTTAGTCTGATTATATAATGTTTTCAAATGTAATAGCTATAAAAAGTTCCTTAAGATTTTTTTTTATCAAGCCTCCAGCAAATTATTCTTCCCCTGGTGGAGGTTACTTCCCCAGACAAGCGATCCAATTTAAGCAAAAAATCCGCTATTACTTAATCAAAAACTTTTTCCCAGGTCATGATATATGCACATTCTCTATCTTATAACAATGCAACGTATGCAATATTATTAACTTTGCGTTTTTGACCAAATGAATAACTTAATACTTACTACCTTTAATAAAATTTACTGCAAGCATTATTGGACTTGGTAAGAGAGTATCCGAGTTTAAATTCAGAAGAAATATTTTATACATTTTACCATAATCCCAAAGTAATCCGTACGAGGATAATGCTTAAATAATAAATACCTACCCACTCAAGGTAGATGCAAATTCATTCATGTGTCGAGTGTTTTAATCTGAACGGTGTAGGGTAGTCTTTGAACTGGGTCTTCAAACCTTGAGTTGTTAAACCGGTAAGCTTCTTATGAGAATGGTAAAATGTTTTCACTGTTCTATGAAATAGCTCACAATGGGCCAGTCTGAGCTCGAGTTAATCTCATCTTTATCTTATGA